AAAAAAAAGAAAGATAAAAAAAAATACAACCTGTTGTTGTACTGCCAAAGTACTTCGTATCATAAAGCAGCTTTGTCTTCGATGACTAGGGAGTTTTCGATTAACAGGTTCTCCCCAAAAGAGAAACACGATGATGAGGTCCATTAAAAACGCGAAATAATTAAACTTCATAAAGCTAACTCACAATCTGCTTGATCGAATTTTAATAATAAAACTTTTATATACTTTCCCACATTAAAGTTCCTATTTTTAGTTTCAATAAGATATTGTTATAAGGGCCAGGGATTGGGGTTATTTTTTTTTATAGGTTTACAAACTTTTAGTAATTAGTAAAATTTAAACGAAAATCTAATTAAAATTATCAAGAATTTTTAGTTTGGTTTTTACTAATTTTAATTAGGAAAATAATTACGCGAAGGTAGCGCTCCTGGTGTTGACTATCGGTAAATAATTGTTTTTTTTCGAATAGTTCCTTTTTTTTAATTAGTCCGTGTTAGCTAAATTATCAGTAAAATAAAAATTTAGATGTTTTATTTAATTTAAGGGGATAAAATCTTGGATTGAATAAAAACCTTGCTGAAATGAAATTCTAACATTACCATGAGAGTAAACGCGAGAAAAGAAGCTTAAGATGGAAAACGTGTACGTATTCTCTAATGTTTGCACTCTTGGTGAACGGATCGAATATTCTCTGTTTATTGTGTAAATCAATGATCTTGACATTTTGATTCTCATGGCAAAAGTCACACACACACACACATACAAATTCAGGAAGTCGTCGCTTCGTGAAACTAATCTATTTCCTTCCAAGCCGTTCATCAATTAAATGTCTAAAAGGGATGCTGAGGAAAGGTGCGGGTGACATCTCGTTCCTCTTTCTCCTCGTATTTATACTGTTGCGAAAAAATATGCTATCGATTTCTCTCTCACTATATATCGATGAATCCATTGTTTGTCGTCCTCGTGAACCCGTTGTTTTGCTAGTGACAAAGTTCTGAACGAAATATTGCTCTAAACATGGTTTTTGCGAGAGAGGGAAGTATCTCCACTGTCTGTTTAATCCATTGAACTCACTGGGATGAAAATACAAAAGCACATATACTAGATACTAGAAAGCTCGGCAGTAGTGCAGTGAACCAAATCTAAAGTAGCGATATAGTGTATGATAGGTACTTGCATCCGGATGGAATACATTTTTTGTTTTATATTTGAAATGGGTATTTTTAAGTTTCCATTGTAATAATTATTCAAGCTGTTTTTTTTTTTTTGAAAAGTTAATATTTTGTCACTCTGTCATCAGTGAAATATCATTAGGTTTTTTTTTACACTTAAAAAATATATTTTCACTTTTTGTTCAAAATGAATTTATATTTAACTATTGTGTAAAATTCGTTTCACAATTTTTTTTTTTATTTATATATGTCAACACAAACTGCGATGAATTACATTTGGACAGTAAAAAATTGTGTTTAATAGGGTGTTTTCGGGATGTATCAACGAAAAGAATTTACTTCCCTTTAGGTTTGAATGTTGCTCGTTTTCTTTTTTCTTCTGTTTTCTTTAGCTCTCTTCATTCCTCTCTCTCTTTCTCTCTTGTTCGTTTTCTTGACCACAAACATCAACTCACATATTTGTTGCACGCGGGTCCCTCGTAAACTCGAGCGTAAATTTTTGGCGTTTAAGAGCGCCGGACAATCGAATATTACTTGAGGGCTTATGAATATTCTGGGCAAACGATAAAGAGTGAATGCTCTTATGAGTTGGTCTGACGCCTTTTAAAAAGCTATATTTCTTCTTTGGCTTAATATATATATATATATATATGAAACTCTATATAATATATTAGCGCAACAATTCTGTTAAAATGTGTTTCAGATATTTAAGGATATGTATATAAAAAAAATCTGTTATTTAAATGACCTCCAAGTATAACAGTAAAATGCAATTTTTATGTTGAATTATTTACTTTTGACTATAATTCAACTAAGCCGATTCGTTCATTGAATGAATTAGTAACTGTTTTGACTAATTTTTAATCAAAACAGTTACCATAGCAACCACAGAAAATTAAAAGGCATTAAAATAAGCTGCAACGCTTATTATTTTAATCCAATTTTTTGCTTATTTTAATCTATTTTGGTATTAAAATAAGCAAAATTGAATTAAAATAATAAGCGTTGCAGCTTATTTTAATACCTTATAATTTTCGGTGACCGCTACCATCACTGTTAGAAATGTTCTGAATTTTCCGTCAAAATTAAGATACATAAGTATCATAATTTTCAAAATATTGTTACTGAAAGCTAAAGTCAGTTACTTTTAACGAAAATTTGCCAAACTTTACTTAAAAATACAAAATGTTACTGAAAATTCTAAATAAATTACTGATTTCTAAGTTGCGTAAGGGGAAAACAAGTAACTGTAACAGAAAATTTAAGACATTGTAACTGAAATTTTCAAAACAGTTTTGAAAAGAGAGAGATTTCCTGAAAATTACGAAACTGTAACAAAAATTCAAGTTACTTTAACAAAATTGTGAAAATATAGTTGTGAAGTTTGAGTGAGTAGTGTAAAATAGTTAAAATTAATAAAAAATAGTAAAGAAAAGTGTTAAAAATCTATTCTTGGAATTATATACATCATACAATAACATATGTTATTATTTTTTATGTCATATAAAGAATATATATAAATATAACCTATATTAATACCAAAAACAAAATGTCTAAAAAAGTGAATTTACCCAAAATAAGATTTATTGGATTAATTTAATATTTTCTCAAAACTTTGTTACAACTTTAGGATTTTTACTAGTACGCACTTTAATTTGAATTATATATAAAAGTAACTACAGCATCACTGAAAATATTATTACAGTAATGAATTTTTAGTTACGTGATACTAAAATTTTATTCAGCAACAATCATGAGAATTACGAAACTGTAACAAAATTTTAAGAAACGTATTACCGAAATTTTATGCAGTTACATGTTGCAGAAAATTACGAAACTGTAACAAAATTTTCATACACGCAACTGAATTTTTATGTTGATACATGTTTCGGAAAATTCCGAAATGGTAACAAAATTTTCGTAACACGTAACAGCATAAAACTTCAGTTGCTATTTACAAAAAATTTCGACAGAAATTTCTAACATTGATGATATCCGTTTCCATAGCAACCGTTACCATATATAGCATCCATTTCCATGACAACCGTTTCCATAGTAACAGTTCCCATAGCAATCGTTTCCATAGCAATCGGCTAATTATTATTATCTATCATAACTGATTACTAGTTATCAGAACAAATTATTAGTTATCGTAGCTAATTTTTAGCATAAAATAGCAAACTAATTTTTCTATACATATTTAAGTGAATTACAGAAATTGTGAGTTTTTTGTTTTTATAAACGAAATCAAGAGACCGTTATTTTATTTTTCTTCTTGTGATCGCAATTAAGCGTCATCAGGGGAATAGAGTCTGAACGATCTATAACAGCCGACATTGTAATTCGACTGGGATTTTAGAAACGAGTTCGGTTGGTATCCAGAAGCCTTGTGAGGAGTCTTGTTGATGGTCAAGTCTTTTATAATGAAGCGATAGAATGTGAGAAATTTGCTAGGACGACAAGCGAATGTGCGTTTTGCTTTTCGACTGAAATTTTATATAGAAGAAAAAGAAAGGATTGAAATTTGGATGACATCGTTCCTTGGGAGTCACGAAATAAAGCTTCAGAGTGGGGGGGAGGGGTAGAAGACGATTTGCCGACTCGATTCTGAATCTTTCAGACTTCTCTCTCTCTCTTTATTTATTTTTTGTTTCCTTTTCTCCCCTTCTTTAGAGGAGTAAGGAGAGTAAAACGACAGGAAGAGAGAGAGAGAGAGAGAGAGAGAGAGAGAGAGAGAGAGAGAGAGAGAGAGAGAGAGAGAGAGAGAGAGAGAGAGAGAGAGAGAGAATGTAAGAGAGTGGGGGGTGTTATTAGTGTGAGCAGGGGCCCTGGCGGGCTGGTTATATTGTAGACCACACACATCGTCGCTAGTGGACCCAATAGACTTTGGCTTCATCGGACAATTATGCACTCTCTTCACGAACGCCCGTTTCATTTTATGTCTTTATTCGCGCGATCAAGCGAGATGAAATGCCCCCGAACTAGATTCTAATATCATTTGCGGAAGTTGGAAATTCAATTTTTCTTTTTTCGATTTTTATTTAGCAAAAATCATCATAATAATTTCTTGATGAAAAAAGGAAAGAGTAGAATTATTTTTTGCAAGATTTAACACAGTTAAAAAAATTTGTAATATATGTTATAAGAGAAAGAAAAATATTAAGAGTCGACGCTCGAGTAAATTTTGAAAGAATATTGAGATTGACAATCAACGGACGGTAGTTATGTATAACGACACGTCATTGGCTCCTCCCGTTTGTCAGATTTTAATCTCGATCGTTATAGAGGAAGTTATATGCGATGTGGATAAAGGCAACCGTGCGAAGACACGTTTCGTATTTCAATATATATATATATATATATGTTTATATTTGAATCTGCTTTTAATTTTACACATGAGATTTTAATTATATCTTTATTTATACTTTACGCGATAATATTGATGGAATGGATAAGGGATTATTTAAGTACTATAAAGCAAAATTATGAGATTGAATTTCTTTTTTTTAAATATTTAAAATTTAAAAAATGGTTGGTTATTGTTAAAGAAAACAAATGTAGGAGAAATGGTAGTTTTGTTAAATAATTAAACCGCCGGCGACCAAAAGGGCTTATAGGCGAGGATTTCATTGGCCCTTGGAAAAGGTGGAAACTCGCTGAAAGCGGAGGGCAACGGAAGTCACGCGTAAGCCCTTTCGGTGGCTTTTATCACCAAAAAAATTTTTTATCCTTGATAATATTCAAAAATGATTAATTATAATAAATTTTATTTTTCAAAAAAATAAGTGTTATTAAATTATTAATATATTTGAAATTTTTTGCTTTCAGGTAGTGAAGGTTGAAAAGTGATTATATAGCTTCGGGAGTGTTCGACTTTTTTAAAATCGCGATCGTTTATTAGGTTTAAAGTATATTTTTTAAACAGTGAAATCGGGAGTGAAAGTGTTGTAGAAAACTTTTGCAAAAAGAATCACCAAGGAAGAAAACCATAATCGGTGAGTCATTTTTATTAAAAATACTAAAAATCATGGGAATTTTCGATTCTGTTACAAAAACCTTTTTTGACGATTAAATATAAAACTCATGTCAGTTTGGTTAAAATATTCTCTTAAACATAAATATTTTTTTCTTTTTTTTTGTCTTATATATGAAAGAATATATTACTTAGTGGCACTTTAACTAATTTCCCTCTATCTGCGGTTTCGCGGTGAACCACGTGAATTTGCATGTCACCGTGTAGAGACAATTGCGGAATTTACCGATAATTTGCTAATGGTTTATAATGGAATTAATTGCTAGACAGTTTCAAATCATGGAACATGATTTTATATAACATAATTGTCATCAGATCAATCAGTGTAAAATTTCATTCCATCAAATGGTATTTAATTTTTTTTTTGTTATTCGTTTAGATTGATATTTTTTTTTTTGAAAAGATTAGAATTTTATAGTTTCAATATATACACTATTGCGGTGAAATTTGAAGTTCATATCGCGTGTAATATTAACATACAGAATATAATTTTGACAATTAGGAATTTATTTGACATTTATTGGCGATTTACAACATTTATTACTCGTTGAGAATTTACTGTCATATATACACACATGTGTATATACATATATATATATGAATCAATAAATATACTGACAAAATATTAAACGATATAAAGGGAAATAAATCAGAAAGGCCGCCAAGTTTGGGGCCCAATGCAGCAGTTAATCTAAAAATTTAGTATACCGAGTTAAATCAAATTCGTTCCAAGAAATATTCAGTGGAGCTCTGCGCCTCACGCAAACTGAATTCCGAGGTGACATTCTCAATCGCGATCGGTCTTTTTGGAGCAGCTCTCGGTATTCCTTATATATCCTTCTCTCTTTCTCTTTTTCTTGTGTAGTTGTGTGTATAAGCCTTTCATTGAAATATATTTATATATATATATATAAATAATCAAAGCAGGAAATTTTCTCACACGCTTCCTGATAAGTAATGTTCATTGCTCTAGGTTGGAACGCATATTACATTTTGTTATTTTCTTCAGTCTGAAAAAAAATTTCTTTGAAATTTTTGTTGCATCAACAAAAAGTTTATTTCGCTCAATCTTGGTTTGAAAATTTTATTAAAATGAACAAAACATTAATTTAGATTAAATAAATATTTGTGTGAAATAACAAAAAAAAGTTGTGTTATTGTAAAAAAATAGTAGGTTCAAACAAAACAAACAAATTCTTTTCATCAGAAAGGACTTTTTATATACCCTTTTTTTTTGTAATATTCCGATTATTCTACATTGTGAGTTGAAGGGCACAGAGGTCACGTGACAGAATATATTGCGAGTACCATATCAGTATGAGGGTCTGCCAATGGTCTCTCTCTCTCTCCTTCTCGTGTGTGATGCTGCGTGTGTTCTGTTATGGAGTGCCGTGATGTTGTGCCCACACATCCTCGATTAAATGCAGTATTAACTCCAGGGCCTGTCGTATTTTAGGCGCGAGCTGGATATATCCACCACGCGAAAAGGGGTTAAGACGTGAAGAAATAAAACGATTCGACGGGGGGAGTGAGAAAGGGCAAAAGGAGAATGGAAGGAGTGAGAAAAGGATCAAGAAAGATAGATAGATAGAGAGAGAGAGAGAGAGAGAGAGAGAAAATCGGAGTGACTGTGAGGGCATTATATAGTACATATAAGCGCCTCTTTTCACTCTTCTCATCTCTCTCACCGCGTGGGCGGTCTCGGACTCCGCGCTCAGTCCAAATTTGACACGCGTATCATAACCCTTCCGACGTACGCCACGCAATGATGTATATACGTGGAATACCTTGAGGCCTTGATACGCATCATGCAATATACGATCGTGGATTTTCAAATTTTTTATAAACTTTTATACTAGAATTATATATAGGGCTATGAATATATGATCCCGTACTGATTTATTCGAGAAATTTTGTATTTTTTATTTCTGGATGCTGCTGCGCTTCATCTTAGAGAGAGAGATAGGTGTCAATATCTTTTGGTAACTCTCGTGTCCCAGAGGGGTATGTGTCTCAATATATGTTCATATAGTCGATTTGATGTGCTCTAGGCATTTTACGAGAAAGATGAAAAAAGTCCTCTTGAATGCAGATGATGAACTCGATCAACGATTGATAAAAAATTCATATATGTGGTTCCTCACTCTTTGCGCAAAAAGTTATTTCACTTGTTAGGGATTTTTTTCGATAATTTTGGATATATAGAAAAGTTTTCATTTGTTTTGTTTTCACAAGTGTTTTATTCATCTTGATTTTATTGATGTGCGTAGAAATTATTATTTTTTTGTCAAAATTTAGTATAGAGAATGGAATTGCATATTATAATTTATAATGTGACTTAAGGGCCTTGATTTCACGATATGAAAATTAAGCTCGCAGACTTAACAAGCACGTTATATTCGATGTCGAGAAGTCGTATATTATAAACGGGGGTTATAAAAATGCTATTGGAGAAGATTGGGTTGATGTGTGCGCGCATTGAACATCAAATTAAAAAGATGTTTACAATTCTGTTTGAAAATGCATCGTAAAATGGAACTGTAAATATATATCTTGATTTAACGATGAGAATGAAGTAATGATAAAAATAATTTGATTAATTAATTGACAAATTTTAATGAAGAAAAAATAAATTTTTAATGATAAAATTAATTTGTTTATAATTAAAATGATGAAAATAGTTAATATTGAAATAATAAAATAAAAAAAAATTGATAAAAGGAAAAAGTAATAAAAAAAACATGTTTTGGATAATTTCTACTATATATATATTAATTCTACTATTATGTATATCTACAGTTCTTAAGCGTCCTTTAGCGTAATTCCACTTTTGCCAAATCCTCATAGAGTCTAATCCCCTATATAGTCGACTTTTCGTTATATACTCTCCATTAAAGAGCACTCGACATTTTTCTCTAAGAGGGTAACTAAATTTTAAATATATAATAAAAAAAAAAATTCATAATTAATAATGTGACATTTGTTTTTGAAATATGTAAGATAAAATTTAGATAAAAGTTTGATTTCGTCAAGTAACTGATTATTTGAATCAAATAAAATTTTTTTTCAGTGTATTTTTATACAAATTTGGAATTTCGTTACAAAATATATAATAATATGATATCGGAAGAGAAAAAAAAAAGTATTTGCTAATACTCACTGAAAAATAATTGCAAGTTGAAAAATATGAGAGTTAATTGGCTTCTGAACAGAGAAAAGAAAGAAATGATGGTTTTGTGTTGAAGAGAAATATTTTTTTTCACACAATGATTCCAAATTCGGATTAGTTGCTTTGCAATTACGTATGAGATATATAATTGGAAAAGAAAACGAGTTGGGAGAGAAAGAGAGAGAGAGAGAGAGAAAGAATGAATACTTGGACAAATCGATGAGAAAACATCGTCTCATGTGTTGAATCCCCATGAGTGTCACGTCTATAGAAACCGGGTGAATTCAAGAGTCGAAAATAATCGGTTCTTTGCCTGTTCTTTGAGATGGCATACATACACATATACACAGGTAAAAGAACGCGCTTCAGTGACGGCATTTCGTTGAACGAAATTCCAACATTGAATTCTCGAGCGGCAATTTGCCAGTGGGTTTCACGAATTCCTAGCCCGTGTGTGTATCAAACTCGCGTTAATCACCCATATAGTCGTTTCGCATCTAAAAACGATGATGAGGAGATATGGACCACCCCCCAACATAATATATATATATATATATATATATATATATTCCTATGTTGGTGTTCGTTAAAAATTATCTCGTTTTAAATCCTCGTAAATCTCTCATTCAATTTTTTTTTCTATCACCTAATCAATATGGTTATATGCTGATAGAAGGATAGAGCGCAAAAGTTTAAATGTCTTCTATTGAATCCGTTTTCTTATATTAGTACCGAACAAAAGGACTTTTTTAATTCTCTGATTATTTGCATTATCGAAATCTCACCAAGATTCTCATTCACCTCGCAGGAAAAAGGAATCGAAAAAAATGTCGAAAAGAAATAACTTTTTTTTCAATTCTCTACACCCAGAAGAAAGATTTCTTTGACAAATATTTCTTTGATACAAAAAAAATTTATTTGTTTCAAGTAAATTATCTTTGTTGCAAAAAAAATTATATTCGTTTCAAAGAAATTTTTTATTTAATTCAAATAAATGTTTCTTTGACCCTATATATGAATGGGTGTATATTCTTTCTAATTTTGATAACTTGTATTTTCGTTTTTTCTTTTGTTTTTGTAAATTTAATTTTTTGTTTCAATCGCAGAAAATAGAAGGCATTTAATTAAGAATTGAGTGATTTTTTTCTATTCAATTTTCAAACAAAAAAAAAAAAAAAAAAAAAACTACACCATAGATTACGTGATTGAAGTCATATTTTTGGTTTTGAAATATTTTTGTGAATTATTTTTCACGAGCATTGAATGCTTTTGACGTTTATGAAAATTGAAGTAATTTTTGAAAATATCGAATGCGAATGCCACACGATTCTCTCTTGTGTTGTTGAGCCGGAAATTGTTGGAATTTTATTGTGTACCCATATGATGATTATACGTGTTGCGTGTTTTCAATGGTTGCTTTGTATGTACATATATTTTCATCACACCTGACATTGTTGGCGTTAGCAGTTTTGCGTTATTTTCTATTTCCGTTATGTTAGTTGTTCTCGCTTGAAAATGTCATTTGCGGGTGGAACATATATGTATATATATATATATATATATGTTAATACGATTTAAAAAACTTTTCATTATTTGTAAATACTTGTGATAAAATGTACATTTTATTTTAAATTTATAGTAATAATTATTGAAACATTAATATTTTAAAAATTAAGATATTTTTTTTTGAATCAATTATTTTCTAATTTTTAATTTATTGAAAACATTTGCTGTATATATTTATTTTATATAGTATAAGGAATTAATTTTCGTATTAAATGAAGCAAAGTATG